CAGGTCTTAGGTTGACCACCTTTGGCTTTTCTCCATTCGGTGTCTGCTTCGGCGAAAATCGCTCGCCGCGGCAACCTATCTAGTGACATGCGTAACACATGTCCCAACCAACGTAATCTTTGGAGGTCGACCACTTGCTCCTGTAGGCGACCGCATTTACCCTTAACTCTGCGCCTAACCTCAGCATTGCTCATCCGGCTACCCCAACAGATTCGTGCAATGCTGCGTCGACAGCGGTTTTCAAACACGGACAGTCTGTCTTTATCTTGTTTTCTTGATGGTCAAGTTTCTGCACCGTATAGCAGGTCTGACCGAACTGTCGCGGCATACACTCGACTCTTCACAAACAACCGGATATCGCGACGTCGCCAGAGATGTCGCAAGTTAACAAACACCAACCGAGCCTTCTGTATGCGAGCTGGCACTTCATCCGGGANAGATAACAAAACTTATCCACCTGCTCTATTACTTCTTCAGTACGGGTGAGGTTGGGTGCTGGACCAACCCAGTCTTGTAGCAACATTTTACACTTTGAAGGTGCAAAATGCATACCGAACATGGCTACACTAGCGCTCAAACTATCCAGAAAAGCTTGTAACTTACCTGGATCTTCACTTAGTAGCACAATGTCGTCTGTATACTCTAGATCAGACAGTCTGCCCCCTGGGAGTAAATCGATACCGCTTTCCTCGAACGAGGATAGGGCTGTTTCCATGATCAAATCTATAGCAAAGTTAAACAAAGAAGGAGAGTGAGTGAGAAAGGGCAACCGTGTTGTAGGACTTGACGAAGAGTGAAGATGTGGTAGATACAACCTAAAAGCAGCCTGGTTCTCACGTGCGGCAGACAACCGACGGTGTCTGAAATTTGGATACTATGTTGAATAAACTTATTCCTCTGTTGTTTCCACAGGAGGATCTATCACCTTTCTTGTAAATCGGTATGATTACCGACTCACCATTCAGCAGGAATCTCTCTCTCCCACACTGAGCCCAGGAGTTCCGAAACCCATGCTGAACCTCCATCCTTAAGCGCTGATGAGAACAGCCCATCTGGGCCGGAGGCCTTATACCTTTTACGATAGCTTATTTCCCGGGGAACCTCCATTTCAGATGGAGGACTGGCATCGACTGGCAGAATGTGCGCAGTCGCGGTGGAGGGTGATAGTTCGGATGTCGATGGGGGCCAGTTGAACTAAAACTTGATATGTTGAGCCCATCGATCAAGACGGCGTTGGTGATTGTGAATCAGTGTGCGATCGAATTCCTTAGTTATCTCACTCATGCTTATTTTTCTAATGCCCGTATTCCTAATTAGACGGAAAAGATGGCGACTATTACCAGTAGCCGCTGCCTTCTCCATCTCTCTACACTCTCGTATCCATCACTTCTCGCGGTTATTCCTCAGACTCCTGATGAGCTGGCTTTTTTGGAGATTTGCGAGCTGTGTCATATGTGGCATCGGGAGGAAGGGTTCTGCGGAAGTTCAGCAGGGCAGCTGAGGTTGATGAAATTCATTGTTTGTGTTTTAAGCCTGTGTGGCGGTCTAACGTTCTTCCTTGATTCCTTGATTTGCTTTCAGTGTTTATTGAGTCCTTCGGCTGGTGGTTGAACTGACAGGCGATCGAAGAGTTCCACTTCGAAGGCTGATTTGTAGCGATCATTGACGTTGTATCGTAGGTATCCGTTTTCGCAGGCTTTTTTTTACAGTTGTTTGCCAGGCGTAAGGAGAATTTTGCTCGTAGTAAAACGTGGTCCGTATCCACAAATGTTGACCAGTAAGAGCGGCAGTCTTGAAGCGGTCCCCTCCAGCGGTAACTGATAGCGATGTGGTCGATTTGGGTCCAGCGTTGTGAAGAGGTTGCCGGTTTCCATGTAAAACGGTGTCATTGTATACTGAACAAACACGAGTGTGTAATATAAACGTTTTCTTTTCAAGATAGGGGATCAGACTGAAGCACTGTTATCCACCGAGCATGTCATTAAGGTGTATACTATCATTATTTTTATTGAAATGGATAGGATATATGGTACTGTATGACCCCGTCTTTGTTTACACTGTTTGACTGCAGGATATTTTTCCATTTAGATTCGAAAGGCGCATACCTACTACAATTGATCCCTGCTTATTCTGCTTCAACACAGCGAATAATCTACTTGTGGGTTTGCTTGCAGACTATCGCTTGACGCTTTTCTGTCATGTTCTAAACCGATTTTTTGACCCCCTCTCCTTCCCTCACTCATGCACTCCTTTCTCTCTCCCCCATGCAACACAGTTGTGGTCCCATAATCCAAGTCGATTAATCGGTCTGGTCAGTCAGCGTGGATGGTATACAAATCGATCGTCGAACGCGGCACGTGACTCGCCCGAACTGATCTCAGCCAGTTTCGGGGCTACGTTCTTTCACAAGGTATGTTCTAAATCGGGTTTCTCTTTCCTTCGCACTCCAACACACACACAAGCACGGACACGCTGAACAGAAAACCAAACTCCGGACCAGTTGACAGCCATATCATTGATAATTGCTTCCACATGATTATTTGGTGCAAGTTATGAAACCCAGTTGCATAGAGATTTTGAGAAGTGGGGTTTGAAATGGTTGTGAACAAAATGTTTTCGTTAGTCAACAAATGAGAATCCCACAACGGTCATTCCGTTGATTCCGCTTTGGAAGCCGTTAGTAGTCGCCATCCCATGGCCCCCGTTGATTCGTTAGATCAGTTCCATCATCAACTTTGAATGGAGAACAAATCGTGACCAATCTAGACGCTGACGCAACAACGGGCTTTTCAATCTACTGAGCCTGTCAACAAATTCCTTGTTAGCGTGTCACAAAAAGAGCTGGCCTTGTTTGATATTGTGTCGTCAGTTCAAATTCGATGGGCTCTGTCGAATAGGGGTATATACAAGACCACGTTTATTAGGAAATGGCACAAAAATTCCAATGTATGTACTGACCTGTACAGATTACTTAACGATAGACCGATCGTGATATAGTTCCATCTGGCTTTCGAATGATATGTGTGTCAAGGAAACCCAGACTGTTGCTCTGTTCAGGTTCCATATTATGGTCGGATGTAGTCGATTGGGGCCTTAGAGGGGATGTTCTTGGCCTGTTTCACATTGCTCGGGATGATGAGAATATCATCAACATATCTTCCGTTTCAGTAAATTCTGAGTGTGCCATGAATAAATTCGCAACTGCTGGTCCCAAAGTGCTTTCTACGGTCACGCCATCGATCTATCTATATACCTTTCCTTGGAATGTAAATGAGACGTTTGTAGTACACAGTAACAAGAGTCTCTCTCTACTGGCTAATCGGATGTAGCATATTATGTAACTCAGGGAAGTAACACTGGGAGACAGTCGAATCATGGTTCTTATAGGTGCACACTGGGAGTTGAAGGTTTGAGATTTTTCAACCCTTCAACTCCCATTCGAACATGTCAAAACCCTGATTTAACTGTCTCCCTGAATTATATAATGTGCTGTAACTGGCCAGTGGATAAAGAACTGAAAGCAAACTTGTTCACCACATCTCTGTTTCCCTAATGAATCTGTTGGAACTGAACTGAGAACTGATTCACTCATATAGTTGTTACTCCTTTATGGAGCATTACTATGCTGGGCTGGAACGGACACAGGAGAACACCAGCATTCATGCGACATAGTATGTGTGTGAGACAGAATCACGTGGAATTCTGATGGTATTCATTAAAGTGAAAATATTATATATTTACCACCGGCTTGGAGACAAGCATGGTGCCAACGCAACAATAAGAATAAGAATAACGCGAAAATAACCTTTCAAGAATGTCGTAGTGTTGGCATCATCACTTTTGAGTCGGTTCACACACACGAGGCATTCGCATTATTTAAACTTACCTCGTTTAGGACAGCAAATGAGCATGATATAGTACTCACATTTGTGAGTGTGTATGAATATTTTTTCCCATAACTTCTTTTTCCTCTTTCCGTTCATGTTTTTGCAAATCCACAGCACTATTTGCACACCTTCACGGAATTGTTTTCTCCAACTGTGCAACATATGGTCGATCACGCTGATGTTTGTGAGGATCTACTACTCAACTGGTTGATTGTCCAACTGTCCGGACATTCGGTTTTAACCACAATAAATGCCGCCGGGAACCGCGTTCATCACGGTCCTCGGGGTCTTCCAGTGCCTCGACAGGGGGAGATGTGTCATTTGGAACCGTACGGTGAATGTTGGTCCCGTTTGTCTCATCGTGCACTCGCTCGATCACTGGGTACGGCTGTACCGTTCCGTGTGGCCCGAATGAGTGCTGATCTCATGTGAACTGAACAGCATTCGAAGAACTTGGTGCATTTTGTCCTCTCTCGTCCTTTCTCGCCCACTCTTCTTTCGGTCCACCGCTGCTTTATTTTCAAGTGACCTTTGGCCTTCCAAGGACGCCAAGATTTGTACTCTTTCCTACCTATTCAGATACTTAAGTTGTGTATTCGTTTCACGGTGCCTTCTTTTTCACGGAACTTTGAAAAAATGAAATGAAACTATGCGAGCGTCGTTTGAATTCTCTGTTTTTTTCTTTTTGGTAAGCTGCGTAAGGTGCTCGATCCAAAGTCGCTCTTTTTCAGGATGGCTTTTGACAAGCCAGGGGATCTTATCATGCCTGGAAGGTTGATGGGTAGTGATCAGTCTCCTGGTCCTCCAGGCTGGGAGTTCGACTGGTATTTGCGTTTCAGTCGGTAAAAAATTGGTGGAGGAATAATCGATCCAAGTAAATGGGCCTCCACTTCGCTTCACCCGCTGCCTTGTGGTTAGGTTCTTATCAGAACTTAAGGCTTTGGACGTGAACCCTAATGTTTCTCCTGTTTAGTGGCTGAACACCCTGGCAGTACCCAATTTATACACAAAATAAAAAATAATTCCATACTGCATCGGTCGTCGCGCAGGATAATCAGGACCGCGCTGCCCATTGCATCGAGCTGAGTGAATAGTGATAAGTGGATTACTGCTCAGATATCCCAACCTTTGTTTATTTCTTTGTCTTCAGTATCCAGCCTTCTCCATTTTCCCCTTTTCCGACCTATAGTAGTCCCTCAAGCAACTTGGATGTCGCTCGTCAAAGGTCGTTGCCAAATAGCACTGTGATTAATGTATCTCGAAACGCAATTGTAGATTCGAAAACCTCGTTAATCACTGAATCCTAGGGGACCTTCAACGTGAGGCCCCTGATGCAGGTAGGTCAACAAGCTTGTCTAGCGCGTACAATGGGATCCTTGAGGATTGATATTTGCTGCGTGTCGGAGACACGTATCCGAGATCCTGCTACTATAAGCCACTTGAGCGCACCAGGAGATATGTTCTTCGCACATCAGGCGACGATGAAACTCGTTCACTAGGTCAGCTCGGGGTAGGTATTGTACTCAGAAACAGAGCGGGGTCCTCTCTTATCGATTGGATTCCCGTCAACAGTCGTTTATGTGCAGTGCGTCTCTAGGGTTCAATCAGCGTCCGGAAGGGAAGCAACGACAAAAGGTGTTTGTTCATCGTATCAGCGTATGCACCAACCAATTGCAGTTCTCATACCCAAAAGGACGTCTTCTACGACGAACTCACCGATCTCATTCGTATGAGTCGAAGCTCCAAGATAGTTGTACTTGCAGGTGACTTCGACGCTCAGGTTGAAAAACTGGGCGCATCAGAAGCTTGCTTAGGCGGTAGTTGTGCTCTGCCCAGATAACGGTGATCGACTTCTTCAGTTCTGTGCAAACCATCNTTCCTATCAAGCACCAACTTCCGACAGCTTTCGACGGACGGCAACGTGGCGATTCAGTTCAACTGATACGCTAACTCAAATCGACCACATAGCAGTAAGTTACCGTTGGTGTGGCTCAGTGCAAAATTGCAGGTCCTATTGGACCACCTGTGTTGAGTCTGATCACGGATTAGTTTTGATACAGTTCACTCTCCGAATAACTGGCCGATGACGAATTCAGCAAACTCGTACAGATCATCATCGACTATCTGTTCCGGCTGTTCGTGAACGCTATGAATCGGACCTAATGCGTGAGCTATGTGCACCTCAACATGGTGATGTAGATGAGCAATGGGATCAGACTAGGCGAGCAATGCATTCTGCAGCGAATGTTGCTTGCGGGTCTGAGCCTGAAACCCGTCGAAGGCATTGGATATCTCAGTAGTCGGTAGTTTTTATGGAGAAAAAAGACGACAAATCCCGACCTGTCAGGATCGAAATAGAGTTAGACGGCAGCTCAGGAAGGACCGTGAGAACTGGTGGGCAACAATGGGTAGTGAAATGGAAGTAGCATCTGCATCAGGGAATAGTCAAAGACTGTTCTGACTGATACGCAATACGAGAGGTCGGCGAACTCCAGTTAGTGAAACAGTCTGCGCTGAGAGGGAACGAGCTATTCACAATAGGAATGGATGGCTTGATTGCTGAGCGAAATACTTCAGCGAACAGTTCAGCTGGCCTAGTACTAACCAGGTTGCCTCTCTTTGGGTAGTGTCTTGCGATCCTCCCGCAGAAGCAGTAGTCGGTAGTTTTTATGGAGAAAAAAGACGACAAATCCCGACCTGTCAGGATCGAAATAGAGTTAGACGGCAGCTCAGGAAGGACCGTGAGAACTGGTGGGCAACAATGGGTAGTGAAATGGAAGTAGCATCTGCATCAGGGAATAGTCAAAGACTGTTCTGACTGATACGCAATACGAGAGGTCGGCGAACTCCAGTTAGTGAAACAGTCTGCGCTGAGAGGGAACGAGCTATTCACAATAGGAATGGATGGCTTGATTGCTGAGCGAAATACTTCAGCGAACAGTTCAGCTGGCCTAGTACTAACCAGGTTGCCTCTCTTTGGGTAGTGTCTTGCGATCCTCCAGCAGAAGCAGAAGTTCAGCCTTGCATTCAAGCTCTAAAGCGAGGAGAGGCAGCAGGACCGGATGAGCTCCCTCGCACCCTTTTCAAGATGGGGGTCGAGAACCTCGTGAGCTCTATTACCACCCTACTGCGCGGCATTTGGTCACAGGAACATATTCCTTTATCCCGATCGTCACCAAAGTGCTAGCTTCGGTTATACTTCGGCGTCTGACGCTTTTAAGAGAGACCAACATTCGTGAACAGCAAACCGGATTCGGGCCTGACCGTGGATGTATTGATCAACGGGTTGGTAACGTGGAGGTAAGCCGTCATGTGTTTGGTAGTTTGTCAGGTATAAACCTGCCAGCACAACGAACTCAGATTACTAGTCTTCGCTGCCTAGGGCACGTATTGCGTATGCCCAGCCATCGTCTGCCGCAACGCGCTTTATTTGCTGGAAACCACGTGGAGATCAACAGATGACGTGGAGACGAGGCATGAAGAAATGCTCAGAGCCATTGGAGATACTAAAGGATATGGCAGTGAACCGACAGCAGTGGCGCTTCTTATCAGGTCAGAATGCTTGAGACGGTATGTATGCAAAGTTTGATTGCGTACTCTGTGTGTTGACCATAGAGGTTCACCTTCCCCCTCCCTCGAAACGGGTCCAATTCTTATCCACCTTAAATTTTACCAGTAACATTGTGTGTATTGCGAGTTTGGCAGCGATCAGTGAAGTTCGCTACACGATGATGATTTCCCATACTCATTTTTGAGAGAGTGTCTTGTCTGACGAATGTGTACTTTAGCGTATGCTCTTCCTTCAAATTCTGGTAAGAGATTTGAGGATTGTAATGTCTGTTCTAAACTTTACAGAACCGATCACTGAACTGGGTTCGAGTTTAACAACAGAAACTCTCTCTGATGCAAATGGAAGAAAAATCGCCCACTGGTCACAGTGAGACTCACAAGAGCACAACCCCCGCACAGGACGCACATTGGTTGCCAAACAAATGGTGCTCACGACAGTGATGAGTGAGGACACTGATTGAATGCTCACGAACTTTGTGCACTAACTATACCTTGGGCTGAGAGGACACGGCGGATACAAGGTTGGTCCGAACAGGGCGAAACACGTGGCCCCGATAATTGTCTATTTCCGAATTATAAACACTGCACTGTATTGCACACCAGCAGCGTTGATGACATTCTCCCCGAGAGAACACAGGCGCAAGATTTACAGATATAAACATGCGGTGTCGATCAAGCCACGGGGCTGTTTGGAGAGGTCCCAAATGATACAAAAGTTTTAAATCTACTCGATGGATAGACACGCACGCAGTCAACAATAGGACCACTGCGGATAGATGCTCAATGTCGCCCCCCCTCCGAGATAATTAGGTTCCACCTTTGGTTGCGGAGGCTGTTGAACGGTGGATAGGATCATTTGGATAGAATAGTGGTGGTCGTAACACATTCCGAGCCAGGGGGGGGGGCAGTCCCAAATAACATGATGGTAGAAGTGAATAAGTAAAAGATTCTACTAAACTGGTATCTCAGGATGATGAATCAGATCCACACGCGTCGGAGTAACTAACGGACGATAATTCGTGATGGTGTTTTCGAGCAGCTAGTGAAAACAAATTTTCACATGTGTCGATCCCAGGGAATTCTTGTGATTTGAACGGGTTTGCATCCGATCTAGTCGGGGTTATGCAATATTCCATTGTGTCTCTCATGACCCTCCACCCACCTATTTGCACTCACCCATCCGAATTTCCATGAAGTTCGGACTAGAAATCGTAACGGAAACAGCGGACATTATCTACATTCGTTCAGGTAGCATACCGAATTCAGATTACTAGTCTTCGCTGCCTAGGGCACGTATTGCGTATGCCCAGCCATCGTCTGCCGCAACGCGCTTTATTTGCTGGAAACCACGTGGAGATCAACAGATGACGTGGAGACGAGGCATGAAGAAATGCACAGAGCCATTAGGTAGAGTAGGTGTCTCTGGCCTTCCAGGTTGGGGTTCGAAAGACTCCACACTGGTTGGTTGACGCCGAAGGATATGCAGCGAACCGGCAGCAGTGGCGTTCTTGTTGTCGTTTCTTATCAGGTCAGAATGCTTGAAACAGTATGTATGCAGAGTTCGATTGCGTACTCTGTGTTGACCATAAGGGCTTATCTTCTCTCTTCCTCAAAATAGATCCAACCCCTGTCCATCTTAAATTTTACCACTAACTTTTTATGCATTGTGAGTTTGGCAGCGATCAGTGAAGTTCGCCTCACTGTATTTCGCTGTACGATGAGACATTCGTTCAAGGTTATGAATTAATTTTTTGTACTTTCTCTCTACCGTATTTTACCCGAGCTATATCAATTATGATGTATATTATCCAAAGAACACAAGTCTTGTTCACCACTTTGTGTTCTATTCAAAATGTTTGCTCGTGCTCCAATAGGAGGGAATAGAGCAAGTCCCGAGGCGTGCGTGTAGTGACAGTTCACGTCAACCAATCACTCAGTCAATGCTGTTATGCAAAGGATTGGATGATGCGAGCGTGTAAGCAACTGTGTGGTAATGATTCAGTGATAAATTACTATCACATAAAAGAATTCAGATGAGGAAACTTCACTTGTTAGGACAATTATTGCGTATGCACAGCTACCGTCAACCGCGTCGCTCTTTATCTGCTGTTTCGGCTCGAGGTAGGAAGAAATCACTTAGAGGCGGTCGTGACCCGGTGGTAAATTATCACCCTCGGAGGACGTGTGTGTTCGAATCCCACCGCCTGACTCTCTGCATTCTCTGTGTGTTGTATGGTAGCCCTTTGATCGGCCACTTCCCATTTCCTGAAAATTGTATCATTGTGCATTCAATAAAAGGAAGTAAAAATGAAAAAGAAAAGATGATGTGAAAACGAGAAATGCACAGAACCAGTAAGTAGAGTAGGTGTCTCCCGCTTTTCAGGCTGTGGTTCAAAAGACTACAACTGGCTGGTTGGGGACATTGAAGAATATATAGCAACTAACCGACAGCAGTGGTGTTCTTGTTGTCACTACCTATCAGGTCAGTAGGCCTAAATCGGTATGTATGCACAGTTCGACTGTGTGATTTGTGTGTATTGACTATAGAGGTTTGCTTACTTTACCTCTCGCCAGTTAGACCCAATCCCTCCCCATCTTGTACTTTCTCGCTTACTTGGTACTTGTACATTGTTAACTTGGCAGCAATCAGTGAAGTTTGCTTCACTGTATCTCGCTGTACAATGATGATGATGATACTATATAAAAATTTCTGTCGATTGCAGGCCACAACAATAGTCATTCAGTGCAGTGATTCAGTATCGTAAACAGTAACGCTGTTGTATTTACCCGATTTTCTAAAGAATCCAGTTCTTATGATTTTCAATGTCACATTATATCACAAGACTTCCTCAAGGTTTTCTTTTTTTCCTGATTAGTCCATCAGGACGGTGGATTAATCCGTCACCGGCGTGCTTTCGATCCCATAGTCTGAGGTTCGAGCCCTGCCACCGCCGCCCAACTGTCGTTCGGTTCAGCATCACGCTTGGCCTTAAGTGGTTCGGCACTCCCATTCCCGGGGCTTAGGTTGCCGGTTAGCATCACGGAACAGCAGGTTCTCGTGACTATGGGGTTCGCCCCGTTTGCTGTTCATCATAAAATAGACGAGTAGTCGAACCGAGACGGAAAATTTCCCCGATCGATGGTTGTGCAAAATGGGCCGAACTGTATTAGTCCTATTGATTGCTTTTGAACTTGTATTGCTCAAAAAATATTGATGCACTACATGACTGAATTGCACTAATTCCCATCAACACAGTGAACCCAAACACTGCACGAATTATTACAAATGGTGAACACTTTTTAGTTTACCCGATTGTTTATGCGCCTGTTCTCGCGTGAGCAGTCACTGTGGGTGATAGATTGGTCTGTTGATACACTTATTTTCTGTGCAAGATTTTATGCATGATTTCATACAATTATTTCAACTTACCGTTACACTAGAGTAATTTTTGTTATTACACAGCTTAGTGTGACGAGGACCAAAACGGGGCGAACCCCATAATCACAAAGACCTGCTGTTCAGTGGTGGAAACCGGTAACCTGAGCCCCGGCACTTGAAGTGGCGAACTACATACAGCCCCGATGTCTTATGCGTGGGATTGAACCGGACGACAGTAAAACCACCTACCACCAAAGTCGGGGGGGGGGTTCGAACCTCGGACCATAGGGTTCAAAGCACGCCATTTAGAGCGACTAAACCACTGCCCCACCATAAGCGTTACTCCTAACTGAATTAATCTTCCGATGCTTTCAACGGCAATTCATCCAGTCAGACCTAAACTCGATTGTCAACAACAGAGGCCACATTTGAGTCCACTTAAAATCCCTGATTCCGGTCAGTTTGGATGTAACCTGGTTTACATGTTGGACATACAAGAGCTTTCCATGAGAATGATCGAATCCAGAATGGGCTGGCCAACTCAAGCACACACTGATGAGCGCGACTCTGGGATCTGTGGCATCTTCTCTTGTATGTAATTGATTGTATAACTTGTCTGTCGTGCTCGAGGATATAAGTTCAAATGAATCGTGAAATTATTGTGTCCATTGTTTTGAGCAGGTTTATTACTCGGTCATGGTCAACGGGGTACACATTGTTATTGATTTGAACTGAGTATCCTTCGGAGTTCATCGTCACACGCACAATCCTCAGTTCATCCAGTCAATCATAAACTCGGGAAGCATTACAGACTCGAGTTTCGCGCTCTCATTAAAGTTCATCAGTAGTGCACCATCATACCCACTGTCCCTTCCGAGAGTTCATTCGAATCAATATCAATTAATTATTCCACTACTAATCTAATTCCTTCTGATTAGATAATTAGAAACCGTCAAACCAATCGCACCTAGCAAAAATCAATGTCGCCATAAGATGTGCTTCATTAAATTTTTGTGAATGAAGCTGACCACATTTTGGTACACGGACAGCACCGATTACTTTTCTTTTTCATTTCTACAATTGTTTCACCAGTTCGGTCGCATTTGTTTATTGAAAAAAAAAATAGACTGAATACTAACCTCACTTCATCTCGGAGTTCTATCATTTGTGTTCTTTCGGGACAAATATTGGGAGTCATTTATGGGCATACACACACAGGGAGAAAAATACATCAAAAGTGGAATCTGGAAAGTCTACAATTGTCATGATTATTCCACTAGGCCGCCTCTGCCTCCACGTCCACTGCTTCGAATCGTTCCGCTAAATGTCTATCAAACGGCTGATCAGGAACACCCGGTAAACCATGATCCCATCCGTAACGTTCACGAGCCTCGATCAGTCGAGCAAGGCGTTCCGATCGAGTAGGCAGTGGATACCACGGATAACGCGGACAGACACGTGCATCGTCAGCCGCGACCACTGTGTCCAGACCGCGGGTCAAATTGATCTGATCAGACGGATAAGTAGCGGCTCCGGTTCCGGGCATGGGATCAGGGGGTTGCAGACGAATCGCACCCGTGGACCGTTTGGATGAGGCGACCGAGGTGGCAGTTTGAGGACGCTATGCGTGAAAACAAGAACAATGACAACAACGTTATAGTCCCTCAATAATCGGTTTTTATCTTTTTTTTAATGCATCATATTGCGAAGCCAGGTAAGCACAAAATTGTTCGAAACAGGCTAAAATTCCAGTCGGTTAGCCGATAACTCATAAAGCGTATTTTGATTCATCGCCTGGCACCAAACTGAAGCATTCACATAATTTGATCAACCGCTACTATACAGTACTGAGGAAATCTAATGAATGGACAAACTACAAGCGCTGTATTCACCGCAATCACCAGTGATACGATCGACTATGATCAAGCTCTGGCAAGCCAGATTCCGGCTGTCTAGTCGACTCGGTGTGAACTCAACATGCCCGCACACTTGGTTTACCTACCTGACACTAGCGAGTCTTTCTCTAAAACGACGACGACGACGAGGCGGAGAAAGAAAGCAATTTGATATTGTCGGGTACAGGCAAGATGTTTTATGCAAACCGGTGGCTAGTACGTTCCCACTGTACGTGACCGTTAGTTTACACAAAAGAAAGAATCCATATTCAGCAGCTTGTCAATCTGAAAAATCTATGATTACGTCCAGTAAGTTGGAAGAACTAAACGACTGTAGCTTAATGAACATGGCGTGCGGTAAAAACATGTTATTCCCACATGTTTACTGGTTTTTGTTTTACCCTTTTCTGTCCCTATATTCTGCCTTAAATCCATGGTATTTTGGATCCGTATCTGTAAAGATTTGTGCTATTTATATAGTATTTAAATAAAGGCAACTTGCGATCATTTTCTAACTAAAACAGCCACAAATATATATATATGTATATATATATATATGTATATATGCATAGAAGATATCTAGTTTACACGATGCTGGTTTTGATTGCGAGATGGAGGTACTAGGCGGTGTGTGGTTTCTAAATATAAGCCAAGCGAGTTGATGGGTCGATGGAAATAGTGATGAGGGATTCGAACGTTGGAGTAGAGCCAAAGTGAATCATGTCCAATTTCAGTCACGGGATCACAGATAAAGGGAGACATCCACATTCAGGAAACTGCATACAGTGCCATGATGGTGGAAACACCTTGACGAGTCTCTTGCATGAAGCAAGCGAATGAAAAGTGCCTCGGTATGGTTCGCGACGCGCTTACTCACCGTCCGTTAAGTTCATCTTGCAATGACTGACAACTGTGGCTTGTTTTTCAAGAGCAGCGAAAGATTAACATGAACTAGTCGGCTTTCCTCATCCGATGTGCAGACGATTAAGGAGGGTTGTGAGTGAGCCTGTCAGTTTATGATCACAGTTTGCCATTTGTGACACAGTTTCATCGGATCAAAGTGCAAATAAACTTCAACTGAGGCTGTGCTTGAAAGAAAAGATAAATGCAACCAGGGGTTAGCGCAACGGTTCTAAATTCCCAGAGTTTGATATCTGTCACAGGATAGAATTTGCCAAGTGCCTGTCAAAGTTGATGGTTATATTGAAACACAGCCAAATGTGACCAAGTATGACCCATGCATGGGAGAGGTATGAGAACAGTGATTAGTGAAATAGTCCAGTCAATAGGAGAGATTCATTCAGTCTTCGTAGATAAAACTTTAGTGAATAAAAGTTATTGACTTCGTATTACTTACTGTTTGGTTTACACGGCTGGGATCTGCTTAATCGATAACTGGAAGTTTTAGTAAGGCGTTGAGCTTGGATCATTCCTTTTCATATACACAATATTTACATATCTGGTTTTCTCGTTGTACACCAATCACTCTCGTGATACCACTACTCCCCTTGTTTGCTTGATCGAACTTTCATCCGAGAGGCAACAATAACAGAAAGAAACCGACACTGAAAGTGTACGGTTCCATCGTGGGGTGAGATAACCTATGCTGGAATTAATCTATCATACGCGGCGTATCGACTTCAAAGTCTGGTACACGTTTGTTGGCTCCGGAATCTCCCCCCCCCTCGATCCCCAATCCGGTAGCGCTCGAGAATCGTTTCCCTCGTTTAGGGTTCGTAACAAAACGGCTAAATTTGTCTACCTTGACGTGAAACCGAAGTGAGTAGAACACTGGAATTCCATGTGTCCATTCTGTACGTTTCGGAAACGACAAAATAACGATCATGAACAGTGATGAAAAAAAACTCAGTGATCACGACACTATGGAAAACTTGTCGTTAATCTGACCGGAATCCAATCAGTCGAAACGAGGATCGTTCAAAGGCAATAAGCTCCTTTTCCTGCTGAGCTATGCAAAATCACTCGTTATAGAATCACCAGAGAAACATGTGCTCTGTGGATTTCTCACTAGAATTCTGTCCCAATGATCGAGTGACGCATGAATGCTGAAGTCAACAGAAGACGAGATTGTCTTGAAGTGCGGTACTATAGAATCGTCAGGCAAATCGGGGAGTGCGCATTTGCACTGTCAAGACACAATCAAATGACGCAGTACGTCAAAGTAAAACAACCATCTACTGTGACCAAAGGAGCCTTCAAAAGCTGTCCAAAGCGTTCGACTCAAAGACTGCGGGTCCGAGCAGTTCAATCAAAATCAACGATCAAAATGTCATTAACTGAAAATCAGACAATCAACTATACGGGACCGAAATACCAATCAGATGAGGGACGGGAACAATCAACTTGTGCGCGCTTGCATGTGTCTGTGTGTGTGTGTGTGTGTGCGTCGATCGGTTAACCGGTGGATGCAGATCACGTGGGCTGTTCGAACTCACCTTCTTTGCCCGTGGACTGCCTTGCTTCTTCTTGTCCGTCACCTCTTGTGCCAATTCCCACTTGTCGTGAACGTGTTCAATCACCCGTGGATCGGCCCAGGCCAGAGCTACTTCATACATATTGTCTCCTGCATACGGTGATCAATCGAGGAGGAGGGGGTAAGGAGGAACAGGGAGACATATTCCCGAGGTGTTAATGATGAGGATTTCGAAACTCATTGAAAATGAACACACACACATGCATGCTCAGATGTGTATTAAATCCATTGCATTTCAACTGGCCTCATCTCCCATCCCACCTTCCGTTATGACCTCACATGTTTTTTAGACTTTAAAAAATAACATATTTCACCGTTTACTATCAGCACAATGACAAAGCCATGAATGAGTGGAATCCACGACTAGGTCGGGACAAACAAACCAAAATCATGCGAATATATGCAAAAAATACCGATGAAAATGGTTCGGTTTATCGTTAAATGAGCTGCCACCAACGAATAGACAGGTAAACAAGTAACCAGACAGATCAATCTGCCAAACAACCATTCGAACGATCAACCTTGCCTTGGATGTTCATTCGGTGGACTCTGGTGAATTCAACGGAAAACCTGTCTTGGCAGTCGGCTTACATGCTATCTGGTATATTCCATACGCCTCTGTAAGTTGAATAGGTGATTCGAATGTGAAAAGCTCAGTGCTACCGGTGTGGCCTTGTAGCTAAGGTGATATAACGTGCTCTGTTCCATGGATTGGAATCCCACCGAGGCTACTGAACTTTTCAAAATAAAAGAAACAAGTTAGAAAAGTAACCAGATAAGAGCAAGACAATTTACCCATCACACAGATGTGTAAACTGGGGTGTGTAAATAGTTATAACCGATAGCACCCACCTTTTCGTGTTTCCAATCCGACTTTGGCCCCCTTGGACATGATGTAGTCTACCACATTCAGCCGAGAACATTCAATCGCACGAGACAGGGCAGTTCCACCGTTCAATGCACGCGCGTCAATCAATGCTCCGTTGTTGATCAGCAGCTCCACCACATCAATCATGCCAGAATATGCGGCATGATGTAACGGAGTCCATTTGAAATTATCCCGAGCGTTCACGTCCGCCCTGAACATGAGTCGGATGTGTGTGGGCGGGGGCGGGCGGGAATACACGGTGATTGGAACCATAACATGTCTAAATATGGAGAACATTAACTTCGGAAGTAAAATCAGTCTCATGTGCGTGCTTGTGTGAGTGTGTGCATGCGTACGAACATTTTGGACTAGGCTAGCGGCAGCATGTTTCACTGTGAAGTGTCAAAATGTTTGGTGACGGATACATTAATTAATTTTTCGCCTGTAACTCGGAGTTACTTGTAAGTAGTAAGTGACATAATTGAGAAACTGATTGATTAGATCCGACTATTCTTCAAACTTCAACTTCACGTACATTCCTCGGCTCTTTCGGTAGACCATACACTGGGAAGCAATAGGCTCTCATCAGTAGTGCATGTCCATCACTACTGACAAATCCCAGAATGACTGAGTGAGACAAACGGTCAGTGCTTTTTGTCGTCAACTGCTCCCAAAATTCCATTTAATAAAAATGAGTGCACTTGCGTGGCATCAGACTCCAAAAATTGGGATAAACATGCACCTGGCTGTCGATCTCATCATGGATGGAGAAGCACCAATGCACACACACACACCGGAATAAAGGGCCAAACTACAGGTGCAGTTAAGCCAATCTGTCTCACAATGGACACTAAACATTGACTGACCCCAACTCGATGAGAGCAATCGCTGCTTCCAAATTGCCATAATGCGCGGCTACCATTAGTGGAGTTTTATAAAATTTGTTCCTAGTATCCACTGGATAGCCCTCGGATATCGCGAGTCGAATGGATGCTGAAATGAAACAATAAGGTAAATATGTGGGGAGATTTTTAAATAGTATTAGTGTTTACAGTTGGAAACTGACCTACTCCAGAAAAAACGAGTTACCGGCAGTTGAAATACGATAGAACCGTTCTTTTTTTATGTCCGACAATCGCTTAAGGGTGTATGATCACATGCGACGGGTCGAACTGAGCACAAACTACCGCGGGGAGGGGGGGGCAGAAGTAAAGAAATTGGTGCATTTTCAAATGCTGACGAAAAGAATCGCATATATCACGTAGCAGGAAGTGTGCTACTAAAGGAAAGAAGTTTACAATAATTGGGAGAACTGGTTTGCCCACAGTATCGAACACATTTTAAAACACGAAACGCGGTACACTTACGAATATCGTTGTGTTTCGCGGCATCGTGAAAACTGATGTATTCCCGTTTTGGCAGGTTCATATACCATGCAGAGTCATCTTGAAATGGATGTTCCGGTGGTAGTTCAGCAGTGAATCGTGCTGGAATCAGGGAGAAATATGCAGACCTATCAGTTTGAGTGACAGACAGACAGAGGTAGAGTTGATAGGTGTCAGCGATCAATCTGATGAACCTGCTCTTCTTGTCAAAACACATGCGCATTCTAAATATCACAACTGGGATGAAAGTATAAGCGGAATCAGTTAGGTCAGATGATCTGCCCACGGCCAGTCTATTGGTCTTGACAATGAAATGCTTAGAGATTCATGTTTAAGCATACACTTCTCCCCCATCGAGCTGTTGACAGGGAAAGCGCAGCAGTGCTCGAATCCATCGACCTACCCGGGGTTCGAACCCAGGACATCGCATGTAGAACACAAGTATACTATCAACAGGCCACTGCTCAGAGCGTTCTTTATTTTCCTTATACACGATATATTATTGACAAAAATCCTTCTCTACTTTCACAGAACAGATAGTCGAACTGAAACAGTTCCAGCAAGGTCAGAACCCCGTGGTCTAGGGCTGAGATGTGCAAAGTAAGGTGCAACAAGCTCTCAAAGATGGTTTGTGGTATATCCTGTAAATGGAAAATGAAAACGATCCGGTTAGCTCCCGGTGGAGAAGCAGGTAGCATGCCTGCGTTTGCGAGGTCCCGGGGTTCGGTCCCCGTTTGGGTCGATGGATTCGCTTGGTGCTGATGAGAGCCAACCAGGTCGAAACAGCTGTCCGGTGCTCTCCAGCTTCTCACTTCTTTCTTCGTTTGTTCTACCATATAATTTAACTAAATTCTTCTCTACTCTCAATTACGAACAACTTATGATCAGAGCAGACGCGAAAAGAAGACTTGATAGGGATTTTACCAATATCTTGTTTGTGAATTGTGAAGATAACTGAAACGCAGGCACACACTGAACACGTGTCCTCTAGGTCGTTTTTACATCGGCCATTGTTGTCTGTTTGTTACCAGGTCATCTGCGTCAGATTGATGGTCAAATACTCTTTCCTCAGAACTAATGGTGTGTTCGTTGTGAGTGAAAACTCTAGTCTGTTTCGATAGTTGTGTCTTGAAAGAAGTAAAGGAGGCCCTACAATCGCATCATCCAAACACCGATCCATGTTCTTCACATGCGAACATTATACCCTGAGTGCACAAACACATACGGTTAATCGAATCAGACAATCGTTGTTCCATCGTCAACGCAACTAAACAAACAATAAAACAATTTAAAACCAGCCTGCTCTGATTAGAAGAGCAGCAAAAATGAGCTCACTCTGGTCGGTGAGAATCGGCTGTTTCGGGATGTACATGATTGGAGGGCCACCATCCGCACGACGATAGATTGCCTGAGGTGGCAGGGTACAAATCTCAAATGGAATTCTCCCTTTTCTTGCTTTGCCACCTGAATGAAAATTGCAAAGAAACAGACTTTCAGGATATTATCGGTGATAATAATAATAATAACCATAATAATTTGAATAGTATTCTTCTTATAAGCACAAAGCTGTTTTGTTCTCTTTTGGGAAATGTCAGCAGATAGCACGATAAATCTGAAGGTGAGAGCTGGATTGGATAGCCTGGTGCTGGTGGTTTGCATACCCGCATTTGATCAACAACTTCAAGCAAGAATGCAATAGCGGGAGTACGATACTTTCGAGCACTTTCAGTATTACACGGGCTACGTTGATATGACATGATGAATGGCTTTCTGATAATTTGGAATATTATTACAATAATACTTTTAATTGTATTGATCACCATGTTAGTGTTACTTAAAGCGATTCTGTATCGTCATAATTTTCTACCAGTTTTATCTACTACTTAGCAATCGCACACACACACACACATGACGAAACATCTGTTGACTTGTGATCCTTTCCTTGGAGTCATTTTACTGAAATATCTGCCTTTAGAAAGGTTGCCCACGATAACCGAGATGTCGGCGAATAAAATTCGTAGACCTGATCGACAGTCGTCCCAGGTAAACCTTTTCATTTCGTTGAATTTTTGAAAATAAATTTTACATGAAAAATTTTCCTATTAAATATATAACTCAAAAATGTATAATGTACATTATATCTAATTACCTTAATTTGTTTAAATGTCCCATCATTTTTGTGCGCTGAATATGTTACACACCTCGTGAATGCGGTCGTTTTTATCAGAATTTGAAGGAGCTTCTTCTGTTGAATAGCTGCAGGACAGGAATTTTTTGGCGAAAAAAGTGTGACTGTATCTGCGGTCACGTTATGAATCTTCCGGAATTTGGCAAGGCGCTCCATGGATTTCTTTTCCGCTGCTATCGCTGCAAGAAAACCGTTTCTCTTGGAAAGGGCACATTCTTCGGGAATTCGAAGATATCTCTATGTTTGCTCTTGGAGCTAATACTTTGTGTTAGAAATTTCTGTTGTGCTGGCCAGTAGCATGTGTCGTTTGTCCGAAAGATCAACGGTACATGCTCTGTCGCGAGATATGTTCCCACAAGCTGCTTTCCCCCAACCAACAGCTCGGTGGTCCGTCCAAGATTGTCGAAATCGACGAAACCGTTGTCAACAAATGTAACTATGGAAGAGGAATACCATTCGAAACTGTTTGGGTTTTTGGAATGTATGACCGATTCGAAGGGAAGGGATACTTCGAAAAGGTGGATGACCGATCGGCAAGCACACTTTTGCCGATAATACAACGATGAATGATGCCTGGTACCATCATGTGCTCGGATGAATGGGCAGCCTATCGGACGCTGTCGTCCTTGGGAGATACGCACTTACCGGTGAACCATTCCCTAGGATTCATCAACCAGGCGACAGGAGTCCACACCAACAACGTGGAAGGCTATTGGAGCCGGGGTAAAGAGCAGACTGAAGGCAGTTTCAGGCTCCGTTGGTGACAGGAGGTGGGAACCTTTGGACGAAGTTCAGTACCGCTACTGGTTTCACTTTTCGCCCTCAAACATTGAGATGGACATCGAAACGTTTTTGCAGCACATCAGTGGGCGTTATCCCATCGATGATATTTTCCCCTTATTTTTATTTCGTACATTTTTATGACCAGTTTCCCGTCTTCTTCTACTTATGAGTAGTCAGTATATTATTGCGACTTTAGCCTGGGGGTGGAGGCACACGGTGACCGTCGATCAGGCTTACCATAAAATTCTCCAGCGACATCAGTGTGTTA